CAGTATTTGCTTTTATAAGGTAATGAACAGTTTAATCTCCGCTGTACATCCGGGACAGGGGGGTCCCTGGTCAGTGTTACCGGGGCACTGGCCCCCCCTCTAGAACCGCCCCTGCTGACACAACAAAAATAGCTAGCTTTAACATAGGGTGGGGCTGTGCAGCGGATGTCTGAAACACAACATATGTATGAAAGCCAGTCATTTCAGTGGAAGGTTCAGATTTAGTCTATGCAAAAGCAAAAGTAAAAAAGAAGCGCTCATAAAGGTTTTTACTACTTACAACCCCAGACCTGTGAGGAATGAGGAGAAAAATCACTCTGATTCCTCTGTAACGAGCTTACGTTATCAGGATACAAACAAAAAGTAACTGTAGTAATCAGATAACTGTTACATTTTTTTTTTTAAATAGAGATTTCTAGCAGGATTTAAGTGTCACAATATATTTTTAATCAAAACTGCGGTAACAGTCATGCGCGCACTGTGGGCGGGCCTTCGCGTCTTTGCGCGTGTCGGGGAGGGTCGCCGGTCGTCTGGCCGTCAAGTTGACGCACACGAGTCCTCTGAAATTAGCCGTTTGTAATTTCTCAAATTTTTGCGTCTTCGACTCCTCGGCACTCCGACAGCGACCCGGAAATGGATGTCGGCGTGCCGTCTCGAAGGAAAACACATTTCTCTAAAGGCAATTATCGAGGAGGCTGTCTGGAGGAGCCGTAACCGAGGGTACACTGATGTAGAGGAGAGAGGAGTCTCTCTGGAGGAGCTATAACCGAGGGTACACTGATGTAGAGGAGAGAGGAGTCTCTCTGGAGGAGCTATAACCGAGGGTACACTGATGTAGAGGAGAGAGGAGTCTCTCTGGAGGAGCTATAACCAAGGGTACACTGATGTAGAGGAGAGAGGAGAGAGAGGAGAGAGAGAGGAGAGAGGAGAGAGGACGCTCTCTGGAGGAGCTATAACCGAGGGTACACTGATGTATCCTCCGGAGTCGATTTCAGGCAACAGAGACCGGGTGTAAATTAAATTAAACTTTATTGCAGGTCACCCTTGAAAAAGAGATCTTTTGACCTGGTTAAATAAAGGCTACAAACAAACAAACAATTCACAACAGGCTGTAGTTACGAGATAGTACGATGTAAACAGGTATAAGTATAAGTGTAATTAAAAGACATTAAACTGTAAAGATAAGCATTTACAGTTAATAGACACATATCAACAGTAGAAAATATAATATTTTCACTGAAAAGAGTAAAGACTAATGGAAAGAGGTGCAGTACACAATTAATAGCATCAAAATGAATCAGTGTACCAACAACTCATATTGTAATGTCATTCCAAGCTGAACTCTAAAGTTGGCAGCCCTGGACTATATGTATGTGTGGACTATAACAGAGAAATACAAAATTACAAGTATAATGAGAATCATTTACTTAAATATATTATACAGCAAACAATAAGCATAACTTTCTCTTCAATGGAACATATTCTCCAAGGCTAATTAACTGTTCAACAGGCAGGTTGTAATAAAACCATTACAAATATACACATGTGATATACTGCCCAGATAGCTCCTTTAACTTACAATGTAACAGGTTAATATGTCATCTAAACATTATATTGCCAACATTGTCAAACATAGGTGGACTTATCTGCACGCAGCTAATGTCAACGAAGCACAGCTCTGCAAACTGTGCAAACAGCCATGCCAAAAGTAGCTGAATGTGTGTGTGTGTATGTGTGTGTATGTGAGAAATTTGATGCGCCAGGTAGATAGGCAGGTCTCAGTAGACATATGGTGCGTTCACACCGGAGTACTTTTACCCCGTACTTTTCCTGTTTAGTTCCGTTAGTACCCCTGATGTCGCGTTCACACCAAAAAGAGTACTTAGTGCCGGGAACTTTTACCCCCATTTTCAGTGCCTGCTAGAGAGGTGGTACCAAAAAAGTACCAAAAAAGTACCAATTTCTATTGGCTGGGCGAATTGCAAACCACGCCCCGTAAAACTCCCAAAAGGTTTTGTGAAGCCGCCATTTTATTATCCTCGCATTAGCATTATTAGCATTATTAGCATTAGCCCAGCGCAGAAACGCAGAGAGACTAACTTATGGCAACACAAAAGAAAACATGGGAGCGGTGGAGATGAGGAGGTGTCGGCATTCTGGCGATTTACTCGGAAGGCTTCAGTAGAAGCTGCTGGGAGTCCCAGCAGCTTCTACTGAAGCCAGTCCCCAACTCCGGGGACTTCCGGCCGGGGACTTCGGGTGGCAGTATACGCCGTGAAGTTGTTTGCGGCCTGCCAGTAAACCCAAAGCAGAAGAAGAAGAAGTGACGTCAGCGGCTCATTTGCGTAATCTTCTCTCAGGGAAAAGTACTCCGGTGTGAATAGCCGCGTTCACACCGGAGTACTGTTCACCGTACTTTTCGCGTTTAGTTCCGTTAGTACCCCTTATGTCGCGTTCACACCAAAAAGAGCACTTAATCTCGGGAACTTTTACCCCCATTTTTAGTGCCTGCTGAGAGATGGTACTTTCCTGGGGGAAAAAAGTGCCCCAGTTCTGGTTGGCTGGGCGAATTGCAAACCACGCCTCGCACAACTCTGAAATGTTTTGTAGAGCCGTCATTTTATTATCCTGGCATTAGCATTATTAGCATTAGCATTCGCCCAGTGCACAAACGCAGAGAAACTAATTTATGGCAACACAAAACAAAACATGGGAGCGGTGGAGATGAGGAGGTGTCGGCGTTCTGGCGATTTACTCGGAAGGCTTCAGTAGAAGCTGCTGGGAGTCCCAGCAGCTTCTACTGAAGCCAGTCCCCAACTCCGGGGACTTCCGGCCGGGGACTCCGGGTGGCAGTATACGCCGTGAAGTTGTTTGCTGCCTGCCAGTAAACCCAAAGCAGAAGAAGACGAAGTGACGTCAGCGGCTCATTTGCGTAATCTTCCCTCAGGGAAAAGTACTCCGGTGTGAACGCGATCTGTACTAAGTGCCCTGGGGTAATAAGTGCCGGGGCTCTGAGTGCCGGCACTAAATACGGCAAAGTACTTGGTGTGAACGCGGCTATTGCGATTGGTATTTAGTGCCCTGGGGTAATAAGTGCCGGGGCACTAGGTACGGCAAAGTACTTGGTGTGAAAGCGGCTATATCTATGGTCACAAATTGTACTTTCTAGCCTGCGAGCTCCCCTTTCGAGCGATTGACTATTCCTTCGCAATGTAGTATCACATTGGATATGCGCTTAACCCCTCCTGAAATGAAAATGTTCTGATCATTTGTGCTCAAAATGCATCATTCTTCAATATGGCCGACTTCCTGGGGGGTGGGGCTAATGAAAGCCATTGTTAAATATGTTTGCAATCATAACAGCAATGTGTATATAGCGTTTCGTGAATATCGGACGAACTATATGAGAGTTCTTTGGAGTAACTTGTCACAAATAAATCGTCAAAAATTGTACATTCTCCCTTAGCCTACGAGCTCCCCGTTCGAGCGAACGACTAATCCATTGCAAAGTAGCTTTGCATTGGATATGCGCTTAACTTGTCCGGGTTTGGAATTTTTCCGATCATTTCCCTAAGTGGAGTTATTAAAGAAGTGCTTAAAATGCATGAAAAACGCACATTTTACAAAATGGCCGACTTCCTGGGGCTTATGGAAGCCAATTGGAAATATGTCCGCAATTCCATGAGGAATGTCTGTGCCAAGATTCGTGAAGATCGGAGAAACTATATGCGACTACCACACAATAGGGGGCGCTACTGAGCTGTTTTAAAAAAGAAATACGATTTATTTTTACGTTCTCGAAAAGGTCGTGGGCTGTGACGCGTGTTCCAAGTTTTGCGTCCATAGCTCATTTTAACTCCCAAATGTTGCGTCCGTAGCTCATTTTAACTCATGGAAATTTAAAAAAAACGGTGTAGGCCACGCCCACATTCGTCATTGGTTGTGACACTTTACATCTCAGTTCATAATGACCCCCAGAGTATGTCTATTAAAAAAAAAAAATATATATATATATATATATATTCCCGACATGTGATTTTCATAGGTGGCACTAGCGAGCATGTTGGACATTTTGAACCCATTGACTCCAGAATGTCAAATTTTTCACCTGTCCTGGCGGCTGTGCAAAATGTTGCTACACGAATGGCGTCGTAAAGCCCTCAAAAACAGGATGAAAGCGCAGAACAAAATGTTGCTACACGAATGGCGTTGTAAAGCCCTCAAAAATACAGTCTATGCTTTTAATTCATGTATTAAGCTTGACAAAGCATTTGTAAGCAATGACGTTATTATTATGAAATATCTTTCTTCTTTTCTAATGTTACATTGTATTATTTATTGATTGGATTATTAATTTGACATGTAAGTTATTGTAACGGATTACATGTTTAAAGTATGTTAGTATGGTTGATGCTACCTCCCACTCCTGTGCTGCCTGCTACGTGTTTCAGCAACATGCCTCTCCTCTGCTGTGACTACAGCACAGGTCCTGGATCAGGTGGGCCGTCACACGGGGGTCCTGCTGGTTCTGACTGATGTCTGGTGGTCTGATGTCAGAGTAATACATGCAGCTTGTGCCAGCTCCTCAGTTTTATTGCTTTTTCACTGCCAAACAATTCATGGTATACATCCACGCTGAAATGATGGGAGTAGTTTGGGGTCAACCTTGGTTATGTGATTCATTTGTTTAATTCTGCTTTTAACGCAATAAGGTTTATCGATGAATCGCAAGTGTTAAAGAGTTAGTGTTGACAGCCTTAAAAACATCTATTCTGATCAAACAGACCATAATGTCATCACTGTTTTTTATCAGTCCTTGTTTTCTGTCCCCAAGCTAGGCAATTGCTCCATGTCTCTAATTAAAGACATCTAATAAAACACATGGTTCTCTCGATGAATGTGACATTTTAAGGATGGGGAACAAGAGGAGTGGTGAGAACATGGGAAAGAGTGAGGGGGAGGGGGGGGGGGGGGGGGGGGGGGTGGACCATGCTCTTTACCTCCAGGGCTCTGAGGCGCTGCAGCAGGGGGTTGTTGTCCTCCGACCCTCCGCCGGCCTCCGACTCAGCAGGCCTTTCTGCGGGGGGGGCGGAGGGACCCTCCAGGCTGTCCTGCTGCTTCCACATCTCCTCCAGGAGTTTGTCCTGGACACAAAGAAATCAAACTGAATTATTCATCATACTGGGCTTAGCAGTAAAGATAAAACCACTCCTGCAAATACACAAAAACTCATAAAGCCATACTTAATGAGGGAACATGGAATAAAAAATGACCCCATGTAATGTGACAGCGAAGTGAAGTGTATGAAGCCTGCAGCATGTTGAGTTATGATTTAGTGATCTGTACGGATGAAGCTAAAACTAGCACGCATGCTATTTAGCTTCATGTTTGTGCAGCAGCACCAAGTGTTAGCGGGCTGGCTGAGGTTGTGATGGGACGATGTAGGGATTAATTCATCTGCTTCGAGCTATATCAACGGTCTCATTGCTCAACAACAAGAATCCGCTTCTCCAGGGGATCATTTTTTAATCTGAAAAACACTGATTTACGTAAAACATAAGAACAATATACCATACCAAACAGTTGGGTATTCCAGATGTACCAAGTGAGCTATTGTAATACCGCTGCAGGTAACTCACCCCCTGAATGTTTTTGTGTGGCCTTCAGGCATAGGAGTCATTTATACTGGGGACGCCGGATGTCCCCACCACTTTTGGAAATGGACAATTCTGTCCCCACCACTTTGCATTAGGTTATTTCGTTTAACATGTTCAGAAAATAGCGTGCACAAAGAATTGTACACTTTGAGACACTTCATTTTCATAAGAGAACATGTTCACTGCCTGATTTTCATGAGAAGTGTAGAGCCTGGGCCACAGAAGAATCCGTTACATACTGCTGCAGATTTAAATCATGGGGCACATATCGACTTTGTTTTGTTCCCATTGCAAGATTGGCATTAGTGCAGCATTCATGTGATGTTGGAATAATCAGATAAACCAAGTCCCCAAATGGCAAACTTCTCTGAGCCATAAAATAAAACACAACGTCTTTACTCATGATCACACAGAAGTTGGAAGAACAACATCCAATCTCTGTAAATTGGGACCATCTGTGTACCATGTGAATGCAGCATTAGCCTTGGCCTGCGCCCTCGTAGTTCCAGTCTAAATACTGTATGGTTTTAGATTTCTGATTCTGACTCTGGCCTCAGATTTGAACCTCTAACTGCAGAAATGTATGTTTAAAAAAGCCAGGTTTCATCTCACTTTGCTGCATGTCAGAACAACATTGGCAAAACAAATTATATGCATTTTAATTACACTGATACATTATTTGGGGAAATGAAAATGAGACAGACATACATGTCTTTGTATTGTTGAGATTACATGTTGTGCTTTTTTCCTGCCTTGTAAATTGAGCCTCATCTCTGTATGAGATGATACGTTGTTGTCATGTGTTTAGTGGCCTGTAGTGGCAAGCACTTCGAGTTAATGATTAATGTAGAGCTGCAGAAACCAAATATTAAAAAGCATTGATTAAAAAAGAGGATGGATGGTGGCATGAAAGGACAGGAAATAGATAAGGCTGAGTAACTTTAGACCCAAACTAATTAGTGTTTTTAATCATGAGTCTCGTTTGCATTTGGTTTATGGTTCAAGAGTTGGGTTCCTAAATGCATCCACACCAACACAGCGGTGGGACAAAAACCTGCTCACACACAAACACAGTGAGGGGACTCACAAAGTAACTATGATTTATAGAATTCACATTTTGTTTTTCAAGTTTTCAAAGTTTTCTCATGATAACAATTAAAGCATTCTGCTATGATTATGGGACGTTCTGCATGAGTTGTAGGAACTACTTTTGACCTTATTAGATATACTTTATGACAATTTATACATTTTGTCAGTTTCCAGACAGGATGTCATTTGACTAAATCTAAATGGTGAGAGCACGCACAGCAGAATGAACATCAGTGTTATCAGACTGAGATGATGGAGGTACCTTGTAGGCTTTCATCAGGTCCAGCGGGTCCACTTTGGGCCCCTCCAGTGAGTCCTGGTTCTGTAGGAGCGTCCGCACCGTCTCCTCCATGCTGCGTTCAAGAACACAACAGGCAAAAGTCAGGGAACCCCACTGGATCGAAGAACGTGTGAGAGAACCCAAGACTTTAAACTGTAGAACACGATGGGCATGAACGACAACATTTTAGTCTTTTATTTCTTAACTGTTTATGATTGAAAATATTTAAATATAGTCACATGAATTTATTGTGATCAGTTGTTTTTCTTCTGCAAAAGTAGAATAAAAAGGTTTTCAGTAGCAGTCCACAGATCATACATATCAGACATAATATGATGATGGGGAAATATAAGACAGACTCCTGAGCAAAATGATAAGAATGAGAAGATGGCTGTGCCTGGGAGTGAAACACTCTGAACAGCCTTTTATCAGAGTTGATCAAAGGAAAGACATGATGGGTCTGAGTTAAGAGCATTAAGAAGACGGATTCAGGTTTAGAAGGTATTTTAAAGGATGAGGAGCCCACAATGCCTTTAATAGCCCACCATTAAAGTGACCCACAGGGGTCTACTGTAACCTGATGGATAACTGCCAATACACATATGACCCAAAATACATTTAGAAATGAAGACATCTACTCCTCCTTCCTGTCTGCCAACACCAGGAATGACAGTTTGAGGCGAGAACCTGCAATTGAATTTAGAGATGAGAGCATGGATCTTATCCTGACCCTGGGAGGGGACAGAGGGAGCACATTGAATTAAAACCTTACCCCTGGTTACAAATCCATTTTCATAACGGAAATGTGTGTCAGGAGGGTATTGGGATCAGTGACACGTTTTTAATGTCAGCTCTCACTATCTTGAGGTGAACTGGAAGTTTGTCATTGTAGTGTTGTACCGTTGGATGTAGAAAAGTCAGAATCAATATAGATGTTTTTATTTTAAAGTAAATTCAGATTGAACATAGTAAAAAATACATTACTTATACTGTAGTGAAAACCACCCTTGAATGATGGGATAGTAGAGAAAAACCTTTAGGAATCCAATAACATATAATAAGTACCCTGTATCAAGATTGATGCAAAACAAGTGAAACTTGACCCTTTTAGAGAGGTTTAGCAAAAGAAACCCACCTCTGGGGTCATTTGGGTGGATTTGCCATATTGGTCGATTTTGGTGATTGACACCTCTTTTGAACCGTTAGAGCCAATAATATCGAGGGGAAGTTCCTAAACCTGAATGAGAGTGATGCGCAGCCAGTGTTCATTTTAGCAGCTGTTTTTGATTTAGTCTTAGTCTTTAGACGAAAATGGTTATTAGTTTTACTCACATTTTAGTCATTTCTATCCTTCATAGTTTTAGTCTAGTTTTAGTCGACGAAAACTCAAAACGTTTTAGTCAACTTTTAGTCGATGAAAAATTACATTTTAGTCAACTTTTAGTCAAAATGTTTTCTCTCTTTAAACCAATTCAGTTAGGCAAATACAGGTTTCTGACATTGTAATCAAGGTGACGGCATCAAGTGTTGACATTCGTAAAGCAACATTTCACTCTCTTAACACTTTACTTGTGTAATATCTAGGGATGGGTATCGTTAAGGTTTTCTATGGTACTACTAGTCTTATCAATACTGCTTATCGATCCGGTACTTTAACGGTATTCTTGTATTTACTTTTTGTTATTTTTTAAAGGGAAAACCTAACAAATTGTTAACCGAATTAATTGCTTTATTTAAATGTGAAATAAATGAAATATATATAATTATGTTAAAATATTGTACTGTACTTGAGTAAAATGTTGAGGTAGTTGTACTTTACTGGAGTATTTAAATGTTTTGCTACTGTGTACTTCTACTCCACTACAGTTCAGAGCTACATGGTGTACTTTTACTCCTCTACAGTTCAGAGCTACATGGTGTACTTTTACTCCACTACATGTATTTAATACCTTTAGTTACTTCACAGATGTGGATGAATGATGTGAAATATAATCAAGTGTTAAATCAGACTTTAGTTCCACCTGGAGTAAATCCACAAGCTACCCTGCAGTATACAAAGTCATTCAAACTAGCTGCACCTTTACCAGCTTTGAGAACACTTTCATGATCAATCATTATAAAACATATCATATATATTATTCTGAAATGGACCAATCTGCACAATCACTACTTTTACTTCTGGTAACTATATTTTGATGATAATACTTTTGTACTTTCAATTGAATAACATTTTGAATGCAGGACTTTTACTGTAACAGAGTATTCCTACACTCTGGTACTTCTACTTTTACTTAAGTACAAGATATGAGTACTTCAATGGCAATCAATGAATGGCTACGTTTATATATACTATTAATATCATCAGCTGGTAGTGATGTGAAGCCAAAGGTAAGGGGGGGGGGGTGCAGTCTGATGCTTAGAGCCAACAGCTGGAGTGAAAGGGAAGTGATGAGGATGAGAGGACGCAGCCTTCCTTTTGTCCACTCTGATCAGCAAGCACACACTCTTTGACAGCTCATGACAGGCTTTCTCTGGATCGAAAACCTAACAGTGTCTGCGGTATGATGTATTTTCTCCTGAAAAACGACTTGAGGAATGTGAAGCTAACACACCTGTGCACACCTGTGATATTTCTGGCTAATGTTGGCTGAAATAAGTGCAAATGCTAACATGCTAATTGATGAACAAAGTAATGAGCAGTGGTGAGTAATAAAGGTCCATATTTAGAGCTACTGTATATTACATTTGCTGATTAGTGCCACCTCCTACAAATAATAGCACACCATATTGAGAGGCCTGTCTCAAGAAGCCCTTCAGGATTAGAAAAGATCATCAAAATTGACCAATCTAAGGCTTTTCACACCTTTGTGCTTTTGCATGCTATATAATGACCGTTTGTTCTTATAGAATAGAGTGTTGGACACAATAGACGAGAGCCATGAGTCTGAAGCAAAACATGAATAGTTATTTAAAAATGCTCAATTCCTCCGTAGATCTGAGTGCAGCGACAATCCTGTGAGATCATTAATTAGTGACCCTTCTCATATTCCATAAAAATAGTGCAGCTTCAATGTTTTATACCAGGTATCATCTGACCCAAATGAAATGAGCATATTTTCTAAAGCCATGTAGATGTTAAATATTTTAAACATTCAAGTAGATATAGTAATGCTACAGTGCATCCCAGCTGTTCAAAGCTCTGTTTAAACTTAGTTTTCCTATTTGTTTATGGCACAGATCTGATGTTTGCAAATTCACATTATCCTTTGACATATAATCCTTAGATATATTATTCAAGCTTCAAAACACACATCATATTGCGGCTGACATTTGGCCCCATGCCCCCCCGGTGCGGTCATGCCTTGTTATATCGTAATTGTTTTCCCTCTGAGCTGTGTACGCTTGACAGACACTGACCCCCCACCCCCCGTGTGAGGTGTGTAGCACAGCCATTAGCGTTATCTCTGACTGTGAGCACACCATTGGCATTCCTGCCCCAAGTCACTGCCACTGACCTGGAACAACCGGGTGTCAAAGGGAAGTCAGTGGGTTGGTGGGTGGGAGGGGGGTGGGGGATAAGGGTCTCTAATAGTCTTTCAGTTGGAAATCCAGAAAAAGTAGAAATGGTAACTTGATGTAAATGTATGCAGTCTCAAGGAAGTGAAAGGCAGATGTGATCAGCTGCAAGTGGAATGGTGTGATGGCACGGTGTAACACTCAGACCCTCTCAACCAGCCGCCAGATGTTTAAACCCACTGCACACTACGTGCTCCACACAACAGCAGACACCGCCAGATGTTTAAACCCACTGCACACTACGTGCTCCACACAACAGCAGACACCGCCAGATGTTTAAACCCACTGCACACTACGTGCTCCACACAACAGCAGACACCGCCAGATGTTTAAACCCACTGCACACTACCTGCTCCACACAACAGCAGACACCGCCAGATGTTTAAACCCACTGCACACTACCTGCTCCACACAACAGCAGACACCGCCAGATGTTTAAACCCACTGCACACTACCTGCTCCACACAACAGCAGACACTGGCAGCTGGCAACAAACTGTGAACAGAGAGGATATTTGCTAAAGAGAGAGATCAAATCAACAGAGCACACTGGACTCAAAGTCGCCAGGAACCAGAAACAAGATTTCAAAAAAACGATTGGCTGTGTTTCACACCTCAAGAGGAACACTGATTTGTATGCCCTTTACCCATATTCACATATATTGTTGGTGTGTATGTAAACTGTGTTGTAACAATACACATATTTCGTTTTTTGTAATGCTTGAGCTGCACGGAGCCATCTTGTGTGCATTGTGTTGAAATGTCAGTTGAGTCGAATGATATGGCCCTCATACAACCTTTTAGCCTGGTCTCATAAATGACATCCCATAGAACACAGCTGCATTGTCAATGACATGTTGAGACAACACATTTTGTCCTTTTGTGCTTATTCGTTCTGAGAAATACCTTTCTAATCAAAGTCCAAAGAGAGTCTGTGAAGTTCTTCCAGCCAGGAGACAGCTGATGTGTGAATACAAGAGTCCGTAAGTTAGATGCAGAACATTCTTCCAAACCTTGATCTTTTACAAAACATGTGTTTGCTTTTTCCATTTACCAAGTTACCAACATATTTAAAGTGGAGACAATAATGAGGGGGGAAAGGTTTTCTTTGACACATTTTTGTAATCCCTTTTGCCACACTGATCTGATTAACTGGAATGATTTAAATACATTTTAAGTTAAAGCAAAAACCTTTTTCCGCTGAAGTAAACCATGCCTACATCAGAAAACGATATTGTTGAGTTAACACATCTTCTTGTATGCCATGTATAATAAATATGATACAAAATCATATTATTTCAACACTTTGTCTGTCGGTTATCTTTCACAGCACCTGAGCCTCAACAGGAAGTGCACCCTTCACTGTGAGACTTGGACCATTTTCTCAGCACCCTCCTTAAAGTTTGGTCTCATGCACTAACTCAGCATCAAGTCGCACAATCCACCTGACTCCTATCAAAATTCATGGTATTCTCAGCAATAATTCATTCATTGCCTC